CCAAATTTGGACTAATGCAAAGGTCCAATTATGTTATTGGCATGCATTACGTGCTATCAAAAAAAAATTATCTAGCACAGGAATTGCACATAATTATTATAATGCGCATGAAGCGTATCTTCTTTGTTCAATTGGCAACCAATTAATCAAAATTGTGCATCTGCAGATAATAGAAATTAGGAGCAATTGAACAATGACAATAAAAATAAGACTTTTTGTCAAAAAAATTTTCGCAAAAGTATTCTTTATATGATTCGTAATCATTTTTCAAAACATCCAATGATTCCAGTCGAAGGCATAAATTTTTTGAATGCAAAGCAAATTTGGAATATATGCGTTAAAGAGCAATTTAACTATTGCTATAAAAACAATCTTCTACATGTATGGGCATACTTGTGGAATGAGTGGTATCATCCCGAAATGTGGAAAATTTGGGCACATGCATCAAATTCAAAAATTAATATTTTACAGAGTACTATGGCTATTAAAAGCCATTGGTGAGTTTTAAAGCATGAATTTTTTTCAAATTATAATTATGCACGATTAGATTTAATTATTTATATTATTATTACTAAGGTTATTCTACGTCAGATTGATCGATTACAATTGTTACATGATGAATGATATATAACAAAATGGCATGAAGATTTTTGAGCTAAATGGAAAAAATTATCAACTGAAATAATTAAGAACAACCCTAATCGTATTACTAATTTTTCATTTTGGGTATGCTCATGTTCTAATTTTCTTTTAAATCGATTTTATTTTGTAAGCATTTAGTACAAATGCGTAATCCTGTAGAACCTGGATTTTTTAAAAAAATAAGTATGTAATAAAATTATAATTGCATAATTTAAATTTAACATTTTATTTAATTAAGATTACGCATCAAGAATCATATCTTTTATTAAAAATTAAAGATAAATCCTCTTTTTTAGATTTACCAAAAAATGTTTATCTTGTAGTTGAAACTCTTACTTCTGAAATTTGTAAATTAATTATATGTAATAGAAAATCTAATTATCAAAAAACATTAGAATGTCTAACTCAAGAAGTATCAGAATATCAAACTCAAGAAGCGTCAGAATATCAAACTCAAAAAGCGTCAGAATATCAAAATCAAGAAGCGTCAGAATATCAAACTCAAGAAGCATTAGAATATCAAATTAAAGAAATATCAAAATGTCAATTACAAGAATATTATGATTCTATTAATTAAGACTTAATTTTGTTTAAAAAGCGAAAGCAAGAAATTTTTGAATTGCTTGATTCAACAAAAACAATTCTTGAAGAAAATATGTTGAATCCAAATAGTAATAAATAGCTTGATAATATCAACAAAAACTTTGGACCAATATGCAAATTAGTAGAAAACTATAACCAATTTAAAAGACAAAAATGGATTCTGAAGACTTGAAAAATAGAAATCATAATACGTTTTGGTTTTAAAAATAACAAATAGTATTTATTTAAATATATTGATATATAGCATAATTATGCAAATGAAATATTTAAATTATCAATTGTAATTCTATTAGCAAATAATGAAAAATCTTTAAAATAAAGTTACAATTAATATAACAAAAATGATAAATATAACAATAATGATAAATATAGCAATAATGATAAATATAACAATAACAATAAAAATAACAATAACGATAAATATAATAATAATGATAAATATAATAATAATGATAATAAATACAGTACCGGACAGCAAGAAATATTCAATTTTTTTTTAAAAGCACCAAATTTTGAGATTTATACTCAAATCTAATTGGCTATTTTTTGCATAACAAGATTCTGATTGGTTAAAAATCTATAAACCCAATTTTTTTATATATTAAACGCCAAATTTTTGATTACATAATAACTTTAGGTTTTAATAACTATTTAAATTTATAATAAAATAAAAATTTATTCTAACAGAATTGTAGCTTAGACTAAAAACAACAAATTTGTAAGATAGATTTTTTTAAATTCATTTGTTTGCAAGTTATAAGCATTTTTATATTTATATATAAAAAGTGGATGTTTCTTGCTATCCAGTACTGTATAATAATAACAATAAATATAACAATAATGATAAATAACAAAATAAATATAATAACAAGAATGATATATATAATAACAAGAATGATATATCAATATATAACAGAATACAATAATGATAATAAAAAAAAATTAGTTCATATCACATGATCTGAAAAATTTTTAGGTAGTGATTTAAGGGTAGGGTATTTGTTTACTATTTGTTTGTGCATAGCATGAAAATAAACCAATCAAAATTTAATGATCTGC